TGTCCAGTTCAGTTAAACTGGGTTGATGGTGAATGGTTCGATCTGGTTCCTGCTCGTGTGAAGGTGAGTCAGTCCAGATCTTCTGAGCAGATTGTGACGTTGGTCTGAAGGAGTTCCCAGAATGCCGCAGTTTCTCCTCTAACATTTTTTGAGTGTCACATTTTCTGCCAACTTTTCAAACTGCAGTTTGTGGGGGCGAACGTCTCAGCCCCCCCTCCCCCACTCAGGAACACCACGTCTCTCCAACCTGTCCTGCAGGACTGTGTCCATCTCCGGCCCACGCAGCCTGCAGACCCTCAGAGGGCGGAGCGGAGTGCGCGGAGCTGTCGCTGGCTCATTAACGGGATCAGTCGAGCCAGAAACAAACTTTGGATGCTTCAGGTTCAGGAGGTTCGTCAGAATCCGTCTGTCTTCATTTCTTCACCTCTTCCTCCACCATCGTCTTTCATTTGGTCCTTCTCCTCCCACGCACCTCGTTCCTTGTTAAAGTTGATTTATCTTTGTTTGGTACATTTTCTATCAGCCTTCCTCGTGTCTGTTTGAACCCCATCACTTCTCTGTTCTTCAGTTTCTCGTGTCCTTTAATCTTGAAGAAAAACACCTCCTTGAAGTAAAACACCCCCGTGAGACAAATCAGGGAACCAGGAGGCTACTTTTCATCGGTGAGCCCAAACAACGAGTTCCTTCAGTCTTCAACAAGTTCGGACAGAACTCCATCCAACACCTGCAGGACGTGTGATGTTCACACAATTATCTCCTCACTTCAAACTACAACGAAGTTCAACACCCCCCACCCCCCACCCCACCCCCGGACTTAAGATTACTTCCTTCCCAGCATTCACAAGTTAAACACTGAAAGTATTACTGGGAGGAATGCATCTCACCCATCATCGTTCATGTCCAAGTTTTAATCACATGATCTGTACATGTGTTGGGGACGACTCTCAGCTACTACCACACCAGAGTTTGTGTGCACCTTTTCATGGTGCCCTTGACATCTTCCAATGACTTCCATGATATTTTGCTGACACACACTACCTGATAAGACAGCAGGTGAAATAATTTAACGTGTCAGCTGTTTGTCAAAAAGGCCATTAACGTTCTGGTTATGTGTCCAGGACACCCCCCCCCCCCCCCCCCCCAGTGGGACAGGAATGTCCTGATGCAGCCGCTGGTTTTAAACTTTTATTAAACATCAACAGTTTCTGGAGCGAGCTCTGCTGGCAGGTTCTGCAGTCACTCCACAGAACCATCCACACGTCTGCGACAGGTTCACAGGTGCAGCTCCTCAGAGCTGTGACAGTCAGAGTCCACGTGCACTGAGGCCGTGCACGGGGCTGACATCCTCACTGACACAGACCCTCGAGCATCGAAACACCCAGGACGCTCCGGGACACGTCCTCTGCTCAGCACAGCTGACCACGGCTGTCACGGTAAAACATCTGGAAGCTCAGATGACCTGAGGAGAACATCTGGATCTTCTCATCAGTGGTACCTTCAGGTCAGCCATGGACGCTGACCCGTTTGTCCCAGAACAGCTGAAGCAGCTGTGTCCCGGTCCAAGTGAAGCCACTTGTACGTCACCATGACTAGGCCTGTCACGATAAACTTTACTGGGCGATTAATTGTCTCAGAAATTACTGAGATAAACAACAATAAATTTAATAAGAAATGTTTGTAAATTTGTTTTGTTGTAGTACCTTTTTTGACCACCGGATGGCAGTAACTGTTTGAACTGAAGGATGGATAGTGAGGGAGTGAGCAGCGTCTCTTTAAGAAAAATGTGAGGGAGGCCCCTTGACGTGACATGGGCTGTCTCTCTTCAGTTCTCAAAATGGCCGACGCTCGGCGATTTGAGCTCTTTAGCATTTTTCACACAAAACTTTTAATACAAAATCAGTAAACAAGTTCTCAGCTTCTTTTTCAGAGAAAAACAACTTTTTACACGAAGGCACGAGTTTCAACCGTGAATTTGGAGCTTTGACAAGACCGAGGTCAGCCTGTTAGCTTAGCTCGTAGCTTAGCTTCTCAGTTTAGCTGCTTTTAACGATCAAAAACGTGATTTTGGACGATTAACTGGATTTTAAAGAGAAAGGGAGGAGTCAGTGAAGAACCGGAGTTGAACCTTTTGTCGTCCAGTGTCTTCAGTAGAAAGAGAGAGACATGAAGAAACGATAAAGCTGATAAATGAAAATGAGGTCGATCATTTTCATTTATCATGTGATTAATTGATTTATTGATTATTGAGACAGGCCTAATCATGAAGGTCCAAAACCTTCAGGCTGGACTGAGACCTGAAGCTGTCCACGTGGACAAGACAAATGTCTCCTGGAGACAAGTTTGACCAGTGGGGCGTCTGGATGAACGTGGCCCAGTGAGGATCAGAAGCTACGATCAGTTCCAACTGGTTAAAAAGGTTCAAGTCCGGCCGCGCTTCGATGAACTGACGTTTGTTCTGGAGGTCAAACGTGTCAACGATGAAGCACATGGACAAATATAAACAAACATTTACGTTCATGCATCGGCGCTGCTAGCTGTTAGCTGCTAGCTGTTAGCTGCTAGCTGTTAGCTGTTAGCTGTTAGCTGCTAGCTGTTAGCTGCTAGCTGTTAGCAAACTGACGCAGACATTAGCGACGTGTTGGCGCTCACCCCCACACGGTGCAGCAGCGGTTAAGTGAAAGCAATAAGGGAAGCAAACTGTGAACAGAAGGACAGGCAAGTCAGAAAATACAATTAATTAAAAACAAGTTTGTTTGTTTGTTTGTTAGGAAAACACGATACGACACAACAAGAAAACAGAAGCTGTTAAAAACCAACATCAGGCGGATCATCAGAAACAGGCCGACAGCGTTGGAGGCCAGGAATTAGCCTGCTCCATCACCGAGCGCAGGATGCAGCAGCTCAAAGGGAAATGAGCAGCAGGGATGTGATTTTATTGGTTTTCTGTTAAAAAGACTTCGACGAGGTTTCCTTCCTCTAAGCTACACGTTTATTTTACACGCACTCGTCCGTCTGTTCTGTCGTTTCTCGTCTTTCTTGTGGAATAAACTCGAACGTCCAGGAATTCCTGCGTCTCGCTCCGTGTGCAGCACGAGTCGTTAAACTTTCTGCTGACTGCAGCAGTCTGTAAAAACCGCTGCAAGGATCTGCGGTCTGTAGGCACCCGAGTCCTGCGGGTCCACTTCACCTACAGCAACACACGCTGGACGGAACCGGCGTCCGCGTGAGGCCCGTTTATCGCTCCTGAAGGAAAAACACTGAAACATGAAACCAAGAACACGTGAGCCGGTTCTGTCTGTGAGCAGGAACCATCAGAGGATCTCATGAGCCAGAGCCAGACTGGCGCTGGTCCACCGCCAGCTGGACGGCTGGAACCCATTACCGCTCCAACCACGACCCAAACCCACCAGAATCTGGTTCTGATCACAAAAACACTGAAACATTTAACACTTTCCTTTCCTGCACAGAAAACACAGAGTGTAACTTTTAGCAGAACCGAGTCCAAAACCAATAAAGTTCTGAACCAGTGGATGGTCTGCAGGTTCTCTGGGCTCACGCTGATGTTCTGGATGAAGATGATGTTCTGGATGAAGATGATGATGATGTTCTGGATGAAGATGATGATGATGATGTTCTGGATCTTCCAACAAACCAAAGTAAAAAATCTTTTGATCGAGCTCCGTTTGTAGAAATAAAGTTCTGAGCTAACGAGTCTGAGTTCATTCAAACATCCGTTTATAAACGTTCACCGTTTCAGAACATCTTCCGTCAGGAGGTGCTACAGCTAGCTGCTGACGCTCTGTTTAGTTGAGAACTTTAACGACGTTCTAAAGATTTATGAACGAGTGTTGGTGTTGAGGCCCAGTTCAGACGAGGCGTCCGCTCGTTAATCTCTTAGATTACATCATTCCTCCAAACTGAAGCGGTTCAAGCAGCCATCTACAACAGGTAAGATAATAACAGTTTGACTGAAAGATAACACTTTGACTCGTCTAAAAATGTCAAATGCTTTGTGACCAAAGAAAACCAAACTGCAACGATGAAATTATAAATATGATCAACTTGTCTTTCCCTTACAGTCGAGTTTATTTGAACAATCTCGGTGTTTTTAACGTTTAGCTGCAGCAGTTTTTGGTTGTGCACATTTATAATCAGTACTTCCTGAAACAAGAAGCTCACTCCGCTCTGATTGGTCAGCTTTGGCAGCCTGGTCAGGCTCCGCCCACCAGCTTTTGACTTTATTTTGTAGATATTTGAGATTAGGATCATTTTGGGTATAAAACTAAAATACTCCATGAATGTAGGAAACTTTATTAATCCGTGCTTCGGCGTGACGTTCAGTCCAGAAACACTCATGTTTGATGTCACGCAGACCCGAGGACCTCAGTCTAAAGTTCTGTAAGTAGGTCCGATGTACTCACTGCAGCTCAGCGTACTGTCGGTCTGGGCCAGGGAGGACGGGATGGTCCAGTAGCCGCTGTCCCAGTCGATGACGTTGCCCACGACGTCGCAGGTCAGCGTGTCGAGCTCCGGCAGCGTCATGGCCCGGTCCCACAGCCGCAGGTTGTACATGTTCCCCATGAAGCTCTGCTGCCCTGAACGACAACAACCAACCGACATGAACCATTTTCTAACAAACGACACGACGTGTCTGAAGACAGTCGACTCAAAGCCCCAGGGTCGGAGAGGCAGGCTGCTGGACGTGTTCCCTGAGGAACACCATCCTGCATGATCCAGCTGAATTACTCAAGTTCTGCAGAAGCTGTTGATCATTCAGATCAGGTGTCACAGCAGGGAAACAAGTAAAACATGCAGGACGGCGTTCCTCAAGGACCAGGGTTGGGAACCACTGTTTTATAAAATAAGAGACAGATTTCTGTAAAGTCTGGTATAAACTTAATGGTAATAATCCAGCACATCGCCAGTTTAAGCAGCTTAACCAGCTTAACCAGTTAAACCCCAACAGGTTTCCTTGAAGTTTCTGTGCAGAGTCCTGAGATGACGTCTGTTGTGACCCGGCCTTTTATCAATAAACTGAAGCCCCTGCTCGAAAACACCGCGCCCAAATGAACCAACGGTGCGTTGCAGCATCGGTTTACCTCCTAACTGGAAGATTCCTCCAGCCGGCACAGTCTGATTACTGGAGGGTGAGCATGTACTCTGCCTGTAGATCCGGTCGAAGTAGACGGCCACGGAGCCGTTGGAGGACTTCCAGAGGACGCAGAAGGACCTCATGGAGGACGTGAAGTCCGCAGCAGAGATAATGGAGTCAACAGAGCAGACCACGCCTCCAACAACCATCTTCATGTCCGACTGACTGGAGCCCAAACTCAGCGCCGCGTTGTAGCTGCTGTCGTAGTAGGTGAAGAGCCACTCTTTCTGTCCAGGAAGCAAAACATACAGGAAACCAGTCAACAACCAGATGAGTCGGTTAAAGTTCCAGTCAACAACCAGACGAGTCGGTTAAAGTTCCAGTCAACAACCAGACAAGTCGGTTAAATGTTCCAGTCAACGACCAGACAAGTCGGTTAAATGTTCCAGTCAACAACCAGACAAGTCGGTTAAATGTTCCAGTCAACGACCAGACGAGTCGGTTAAAGTTCCAGTCAACAACCAGACAAGTCGGTTAAAGTTCCAGTCAACAACCAGACGAGTCGGTTAAATGTTCCAGTCAACAACCAGACGAGTCGGTTAAATGTTCCAGTCAACGACCAGACGAGTCGGTTAAATGCTCCTGTCAACAACCAGACGAGTCGGTTAAATGTTCCAGTCAACAACCAGATGAGTCGGTTAAACTTCCAGTCAACAACCAGATGAGTCAGTTAAAGTTCCAGTCAACAACCAGACGAGTCGGTTAAATGTTCCAGTCAACAA